GGTCCCTGTGCTTTGCTAAGCTTGTTCTAAGTAGGTGCTTTAGACCACTGAGCCATCTCACCAGCCCTCTGGCTAGATTTTTACTAAACTGAGGCAATTGTGTATTCTGCCCTGCCCTGAGACCTTTCTTGGTTTATATCACATAGGATTTTATAGCTGGTAGTTAAAAGTGAAAGAATTAGGGCCAGCCAGATAGCTTAGCAGACTAATATGCCTGCTTAGGCAGAGCACAGCGACCAGGGTTCAATCCCGGGGAGCACTGAGACAGCGACTGAGACTGGACGTGGTGGTGCGCGCCTGTAATCCCAGCACTTGGGAGGCTGAAAACAGGAGGATCACTAGAAGTCTGATCTAGTAGTGAGACCCTATAGACACTGTACTAAATACATAGGGAAAAAAGTGAAAGAATTGTTTGTACCCATATTTCCCCCACAACATTTCAGAGAAGCAAGGCATGCTCTTTATTTTGTGAACTGACAATGTGACACCTATATCTATGTAGTGTCATGAACATATTTGGAAAGACAACTTAATAAAAGGCGCATTTGTTGATAGCTTTGATTTTGCTGCATTGGGGATGGAACCTGGTACCTTGGCTCTAGGCAAGCACTACCATCAACCTACACTCTCAGGTCCCTGTGGGTGGATTCTAGGAAATATTCATATAGAACAATAGTCATGTTTCTTAATAGTAAAAGAAATTATTTTCTCCCATCGTCTCCACCTTGTGTCACATTTTTTTTTTCTTCCTTTTAGAATAGGAAACAAATTGCTTCACTGTTTTCTAAAATGTCACCTTGTTCCCTTGCCTTTCACATATTTCGGGAAGCAGTTTTGAATTTTCTTATCATCACGGATACCCTTTTGCTTTATTTGAACTGTAAGCTCTTCAGAACAAGGATTGTCCTCTAAATATGGAGAGTGATAGTTATTTTTAGTCCTCAGTACTTTTTAAAACTCCCCTTTTTTAAAAGCAGCTCTGATAGTCACAGGATAATATTTCTTCTCCAAAGGCAGATTATGATATAAGGATATAATAGGCTCATAGGATGGAAATATACAAAAAATACAATAAGAAGCAGAGGTTAGAGATGAGTTGAGGTCTGTATCCTTCATGAACAGGTATTGTGGGACAAAAACAAGGTATGTTCTTGGAAATAACTCCATAGGGAGGTCAAGGCATTGGTAGGGAATTAAATTCACCAACCATTCCAGGGCTGACTCAAGCTTGTAGTGATTTAGTAAAAGGAAAGTCATGATTCCTATGCTCCTACAAAGATGTGCATACACACACACACACACACACACACACACACACACACACACACATTGACAAGATAAAATAGACCCGGTAAAGAAATGCAAAGAAGTGTATTCTAGGAAGATTTTCTTAATTTAAATTTTATTCACTAAATGGAGAAACTAGAGTGCCCAACATTCCAACACACGAGGCTTTTATTGGTTCTGGAGGTCATATAGGCTATTAGTTCCCCAACTAGAAGCATGTCTCGTGTCTCGTTCTGTACGTAGGTATGCTACTAATGCTACTAAATGTGGCATAAACAGTGAAGTGTTTCATTTGCTGTTTTTCTTAAATTAAAAGCCACATTTAGAATTGCACTTTAGATGCTACGTTACAACCTGAGCACTGTGAATGTGACTTCTTACACTACATATTTCAAATGAGTCTCCCTTGCTTTTGAAATACAATGTATCTTGTATGAATGAATCTTGTCATATCCAAAGATTGAGAGCAAGAAGGAGTCCCAGTATATGGCCAGCTTACAGGCTTCTCAGGAGTTTGCAAACATTCAAATATAATACCTGGGCTAACGAGAGTTCTAAACATTATGATATTTTTAAAAAGATTCGCTTTAGATGTTTTTATTTATAATGATGTCCAGATTTTCTTGCTGTTATATCCAGTGAGCATTGATGCTGATATGGAACATCTCCTGCTCATTATTCATTGATTAAAAAAAAAAAAAGTCATTTTTTCCAGAGACTAGGCAGGAGATAAGATGTCAAGAAGCAATAAGCAATGACATGAAAGAGGAGAATGCAAAGAGAGCAAAAAGACAAAACATTACAGTGATGTTATTTTCTCCTCTGCACGCAGATGGACAGGCAAATTATAGCAGTAACTGCAGACTCCCTTTCACCAAAGACAGGATGGCCTTGGGGAATCAGAATGTGAGAAAGAAGAGAGAAGTCCAATCCAACTACATTCTTAGCTGTGCCCCCCTTGACTTATGGAGAGGGCTTTGACCAAGGTCATTTCCCTTTCCTGTGCCTCAGTTTCCTAACATGAGGAGAATTATTTGAGCGCCTGGGAAAAATGAACAAGGCAGCACCCCAACCCGGTCAGAAAACGGTGCAGAAAAAGAGCATCAAGCATAACTACTATCCTTGAACTGTGTATTCTCTGGGAATGAGTCATGCTGCTGCAGAGAGGCATAAGTGATTCCAGCCCTGGTGGAGGACCAGAGGAGAGGCGAGCATAACACTCTTACGGGGTGCCAAGGGAAAAGGTCTCCATGCCAGAGATTGCCTGGGTACCCAGGTTCATAGGACAAAGGGGATCCGTGCCTGGGGCAGGAGAATCTTTTAACTATGTGTTACCCTTCAGCAGGGAGCTTAAGCAGACTTTTGAAATCCCACAGGCAATCTGGATCCAGGCTTCGCCACTGACTACCGAGAACATGGGGAGATCACATCATTTCATTCGACTTCGTTCCCCTCATCTATAAAATGGGCGTTACATGATATTTATAAAGGTGTTGTGGCAGTTTACAAATGTACACTGTCGAAGGGACTCTGCAAGGTAAGCCACTGTTGTAGTGTGGGACAAGGGAAGGCAAAATCCATATAGATAATAAGTGAATCTTTTAAAAAGAGAAAAAGGTAAGGCGTTTTGTTTTGTTTTGTTTTATAAGACATCGTAAGACTTAAGGGGCCTAGGAAAAGAAAAACTTGTTTGGCCACGTCTGCATCTTCTCGTATTTCATCGGTCCACGGTCACTAGTTAAACCTTTGATCTTTGGCACACAACGCACAAACAGGAAAAGCCTTCCGTGTGCTTTGATTTCAAAAGGCTATTTTACAAAAACGATACACTATTTTTTTTTTTTTTTGAAAAATCTCTTGGCTGTCCATTAGCTCTCACGAAACAAAGCCCAGACGCTACGTTCTGCTGTTCTGAGGGGCGCGGAACGGCGGAGCGCGGCCGGGACAGCTCGCGCCGGGAAGCCTGCGGGCAGAGCCCCGGGGGAGGACGCGGGGCTGATCGATCCCGGAACCTCAGCGAGGGCGGGGGCGCGGTGGGCGGAGCGGTGGGCGGGGCCTGAGCTCGCCCCTCCCC